GCTATGCAACGAACACGGACCTACCGCAGTCTGATATTATACACTGCTGTAGAAACTAACACTCGTATGATTGACTGCTTATGTTGCTGGTTTGGAAAATAATGACATGCCAGCAAATGATTAGCAGGTGATTGGCATTACATGACGATATGCTGATCTTAATCTGTGCTGTAAACACAAACAGCACATAAAGGATGAGATCCGACTTGTATTTTTCATTCGTTCATTTTCCTTCGACCCTTATCAAGGGTCGCCACAACGGAATGAACCACCAACTTATCCAGCATATGTTTTACACAGCGGATGCCCTTCCAGCTGCAACCCAGTACTGGGAAACATCCATACACACTCATTCACACACATACGCTATGGTAAATTTAGCTTATTCAATTCAGCTATAGCGCATGTGTTTGGACTATGGAGGAAACCGGAGCACCCAGGGGAAACCCATGCCAACATGGGGGAAACATGCAAACCAATCCGGGACTTAAACCAGCGACCTTCTTGCTGTGCAGGTCACAGCCCTAACCATTGCGCGACTGTGATGGCATAAAATTAACAATAAAAAAATAATTAAAACAATTTACCTGATGGGTGGATGGATGGAAAAGAAGGAAGAAAGAAAGGAGGAACAACAGATGAGAAGAATGGATAGATGAATGAATGACTAAATGATTAATTGAAGGAATGATGGGTGGAAGGAAGGAAGGAAGGATGTGTAAACAATAGATAGAACAGATAGATAAATCATTGGATGGATAGAAAGAATGAAATAATGAACGAATGGATGGTTGGATAGAGGGAGGGATGTTTGATTGGGTTGATGGATGGATGGATGGATGGATGGTTGGTTGGTTAGTTGGTTGGATGGATGGAGGGAGGGAGGCATTGATGGATGAATGGATGGGTGGATGGATGGATTAACAATAGATTGAATAGATGGATTAACAATAGATTGGATGGATGGATGGATGGATGGATGAATGGATGGATGTATGGATGGATTAACAATAGATTGAATGGCTGGCTGGGTAAACAATAGATAAGAAGAACAGATAGAAAAATAATTGGATGGAAAGAAAAAATAAAATAATGAACATGAATGGATGAATGGATGGATGGATACTGTATATTACATAAATATTAGATGTAAAGCAAATCCTCAAAAAATGTATCATTATTGATGCTCTGGCAAAAAATAAAAAGAAAGGTTTAATAAAAAAATTATAAAATAAAAAGTAAAATGCAAAAACATTGCATATGTAAAAAAATAATAGCATAAAAAGCCCAAGTGGTGTTTTATTATTATTATTATTATTATTATTATTATTATTATTATTATTATTATTATTATTATAAATTTTCATGATCAGCTGAAAAATTGACCCCCGAAAAATAAAATTCATTTCTTTTTAATTTGTCCAAATTTATAAAAATATAAAATTTTGCTTTAAAGGTGCAGTAGGTGATCTGCCAAAATGCTAACTGTTAGCATATTAGCTTTGAAAACACAGTCCCTCCCCTACCGCCCAAAACCACAGCTTAAAGGGCCACGAAACCACCCTCTGTCAGCAGGTTGTTTTTACACCTC